GAAACCATTTTGCTGGGCTCTAACACCAATGGGCTGAACATCAAACTAAAACAAGATATTTTTCACAATATTACTTAACCAAGGTTAAATGGAAAAGAAGTCATAACAGTATTTCCTCTTAATAGACCCAAGAATGACTCCACACAAGAAGTGACAGACTCTCCTTGGTGAGTTTGTTAAGACTCTTAAAACTTCTTAATAGCCTTTAGAGAGGTTACAATAATTCAGTTAAGTTTGTTAATGATAATCCTAACTACTCTATATTTATCCTAAGTCATACTCAAGCTTCGCATCGGTTTTAAAATATTGTTGAAATGTTAAAATATACCAGGTGCAGAATGTTTGGAAGGAAGGGTTTTGACTTCTTATTGTAGTATATCTTTGTGTGTCAATACAGAAATGTCAATGCAACCTCTTAATAAATAACAGCTTGCTTAAGGTTAACAAGAAACCGATGGTTAGCCTTTTCTACTTGTAACATCAATGCTTCCCTGATGCTTTACTTTCAAGTAATAATACAACCATACTTGGTATTAATAATAAATTGGTTTTGTTTTTCTTAAACTCACCTTCAGTTAACTCATGTTCAAACAGACAAATTTAATTAATTTTCAGCAAATGAGTTTGATTTAACAAACTAGTGGTCTCAAATGGTTCCCAAAACAGCGATTGGCTTTGGGTGCCCTACATCTGAAGATAAAATGGAAGCACTCAGCATCTCCATAATGGACATCATTTTTCATGACATAGCATCTTTTACAGTAACTTCAACAAAAACTTGGTATAAACCCCAACAATTCAGATTTGTGTTATACACTGACATTAGTTTATGGTTATAATGACCAAGGTGCGAGCTCCCAAATCCTGTGCATCAGAGTCCCCTGCTCCTTATCAAGTCTCCTGTGCTGTGACAACTGAATGATATTTTTCCTCTGTCTTGACCTTCTTCTACCACTGTTAGCCCATAGTATCTATATAAATGTTTATGGTAGTCTAGTTTTTACCTTCCTCTGAATTGAAATACATAAGCATAAAAAAAAAAGACAGTGTTTATAATGGTTGTGCCAGAAACCAATTAAATCTAAAAAATAAAAATCAAACAGTATGGTAACGTATTTTAAAATGCACTTTGGTCCTTATCAGCAAAAAGCAGGATTAGACTCTTTTCTAGCTGTAGCTGCTATATCACACTGCTTTTTAACTAAGCTAAAAACAGGAACAAATTCAAAGGAAAGCAAAGAATAGCTGGCTTCAAATAGAAGTAAACTGTCTTAGCAAAGTTCAGAAGAAATCAGTTTTACATTTTATCTGGACAAATTCATCCAACTCTTGCTGCCATTAGGAAGTTGCTGTGTGAAGCTTTTGGATAGAGAAGGATGTTTCTTTATACTGTGAAAGAGAATCACCACTATTAGAGACTGCATACTTAATAAAATCTACTGTCTTAAATGATAACATAGAAATGTGCTTGCTGCACCATGTATTTCTCTTCCTAGGAGAAAAGCTTCTCACATTACCAGGCTGAGTTTCCCTCTTTGTGAACCCACTGGTAATTAAACTATTCATTTTGTCCTATTTTGGGCTTCATATCTGTTTTCATCCTTATGTTCCAGTGTTGTTGGAATGAGAACAGCTGTGTTTGGACACATTACTATCATCACGTTCTCTGGAGGGTCTGTACTTGGGGTCTTATAACAGCCTAAGTAAGTCTGCTCCTGTTCCGAAGAAAAGAAATATTACAAATCCAAATATTTTCTGTCAGTATTTAGTATAATATTTTCAGCAACATGTCCTATTATCTACTTCTGAATTCCATCTTCTCCATTTCATAGAAGTGTTTTTAGTGAAAAAGCAAACATTAACTCCCATTAGATAATTACACTTTGGGTTTTTTAGAAAGTATGGGTTAAACTGTCACATCACCTGTAGTAGTGATGAAATACTACCTTTTTCCTTGTTCTGCACCTGTTCCACAATGAAGTTTAGCAGGAAAGGTAATGATTTTAAGCTGCCTTAATTTACTTCCACACTTAGACACCTAAGCAGAAGTCATCTTTGTTGTGAACAGCAGTAACATTTCCAAATTTCCTACAGCTGTTTTTCACCTACAGCACTGACACATTTACCCTCTGGTCCCATATTTAAGATGAGAATTATTGTGAAGCAAGGAGAGGCAAACTGGGCATATCAAATTATGAAGAACTGGAATTCCTTTAATTGACCTTTGAATACCTTATGTCTTTATGTAACACCAAAGAATAGGTAAGCTAGAATCTGCCATAGAATTTTTGACAGTTGCTAACGGAGTTTTCTGCTAAAAGCTTCCATTTGAAAACTCGAGTTTGTTTTTAGGGAGAGAATGAGAAACAGCAACTGAAAAATCACAAGGAAAAAGTTAAAAAGAGCTGAAACAAAACGAGAGATGGTTTGTAACTGACAACCTTTTTTTCTTTTTTTTTTTTTTAGGACGCACTCTAGTGGACACACAACAAACTGGAATGAGGATACAAATATGGAAGAATAGATAATGAAAGCCACTGGTTGGAATTAGTGATTAGACTTATTTATCAGCATGTTTAAAGTTGTCTTAAGTAATTAGGCAATATGTTTAAGTTATATGTGAAGGCTGAAGTTTCCATAGTTAACATAACAAAAGGACTGAAATAAAAACACTGGCTCAAATGAAAACCTTCATCTATTTATCCAGCTAGTCCATTCAAGGCTGGCACAAGAAGTTGCTGTGTATACATCATTAATATATTTTAATTAGATTAATAACGATATTTAGTAGAGATGATCAACACAGTGCAAATTCAGTAATTTTAAGATCTGACTAACCAAAATGAATATGCTGACTCCTGCAGCTCACCTATTATCACGCAGTAATCAGTAAAGATTTTAAATTGTAGAGCAAACAATTAGTGTCATTAAAAAGTACCTCATGATTTCTGACAGACTGACTTCTTTTAGTACATGTTTCTACTAAGCCCTTCCAGTACTTGAAGGGAGCGTGTAAACAGGAGGGGGTATAACTGTTTATGAGGGTGGATAGTGATATGACAAGGGGGAATAGTTTTAAACTGAGACAGGGGAGGTTTAGGTTGGATATTAGGAGGAAGTTTTTCACATAGAGGGTGGTGAGGCTCTGGAACAGGTTGCCCAAGGAGGCTGTGGATGCCCCATCCCTGGAGGCATTCAAGGCCAGGCTGGATGTGGCTCTGGGCAGCCTGGTCTGGTGGTTGGTGACCCTGCACATAGCAGGGGATTGGAACCAGATGATCATTGTGGTGCTTTTCAACCCAGGCCATTCTGTGCTTCTATGAAGTTACAGAAAGTTACTTCTTAATGGCATAAATACTCTGATTAAATTTTGCATTTAGTTCCACGTATGAAACTTGCTTCACCTCCTGATACATACAGCGTTTCTTCTTAATATCAGAAATCTTTCAAATTCATGTCAAGTCTTTTCAATTTTTTTTTTTACTGTATATTCAAATTATGATATTGTAGCCCCTACTCCAAAATAATCTTGATACACAAAAATCTGTATCTGTATTAATTTTATTTTACACTTCAAGAATCAGCAGGTAATCAGTGAAAAATGTATTTATTTCTTTTATCTTAGTTCCAGTTTTCTTTCTCCAAGTCAGCTGTGCCAGCTACTGTAGTTTAAGAACAGAGAAGAAGCATAGCATGCCAAAATTAACAGTTTTTATAGGAGCACCCAGAAAGCAAAGAAACCAAAACAACAGATATGTGTATAATCAGTTTTCTATACAAAGTATACTAATTAAGGCATAGCCCTTCAGGGCTAGCTAGTAATGAGTAGAAATAGTTTTTACTGCTTTCAGATCAGATGGAACTTTCTTGTTCAAACTCTGGCATTAAATCAGTTGCAATCTAAAGACAAAAACAAATATATCAGTTGTAAGCATTAACATTGTACGAAGAAGGAAAAAACATATAATACAGACTAGTCTTCATTCATAAATAGAAATATGCATTTTTCCATTCAGTTAAATATGATGAAGCTTTATCACTAGTCTGATTCTTAGATTCAGTAAGTTTGGATGATGTGTTAGATCTCAGAACAGACTAGTCTTAATGCTAAAGGTGAACATAGTTTCATTTCATTGATCTATTCTCAATTCATATTTTAATACAAAAATTGTAGCACTGCAAAACCTGCAGTGACATCACCAATGGATTTATGTAATCCAACTTTAGACAACTTCGGGCATGAAAACTTCATGGATGATGCAGAAGATGTGTGACAAGAGAAGGTCATCTGAGCCAACATGACTTCCAAGGGCAGATTGTGCCTCACCCATCTGGTGGCTTTCTGTGATCAGTGGATAAGGGAAAGGTGGTAGAGATTCATGCACCTAAACTGCTGCAAGGCCTTTGATACGGTCCTGCATCACATTCCTGCCTCTAAATGGGAAAGCTATGGTTTGGATGAGTGGACTGTTCAGTGGATAAGCAATTGGTCGGGTGGTCATTGGCAGAGGGTGGTCTCTGTCCAGGTGGAGGCCCCTCAGAGGTCCATCTTGGGACCAGCACTCCTCATCATTATCAATGACCAGGACAGCACTATCCAGTGCACTCTCTGCAAATCAGCAGGTGACACTAAGCTGAGTGGTGCATTCGATGGAACATAAGTAAGGGATGCCATCCAGAGGGATCTGGACAAGTGTGAGAAGTGGGCCAACATGTACCTAATGAGGTTCAATAAAGCCAGAGTAGGGGCAATCTCAGGTATCTGTACAGACTGGGAGAACTGACTGAGAGCTACCGTGGGGAGAAGGACTTGGGGGTTCTGGTGGATGAAAAGCTTGATGCAGTCAGCAGTGTGTGTTTGCAGCTCAGAAGGCCAAGTGCATCGTGGGCTGCATCAAAAGAGGAGTGGTCACCAGAGTGAGTGAGGTGATAGTTCCTTTCTGCTCCACCCTTGTGGGCCCCATCTGGGATCCTGCATCTGTGGCAGAGTTGTTGAAACTAGATGGCTTTTAAGGTCCCTTCCCTTAATGGGAACCTATTTTATGGTTCTTTGATTCATTTGCACTTGTGATTTTGCAATTCATTCATTTAAGGACACAAAATAGACCTGAAGCCTCACGTACAGTTTTTAATATTCAGTTGCCAGAAAACTATAAAAAATAGGGCTAGGTAGGACTTAAAGGTTCCATCACATTTACCTCTTAGCAAAATCAAAATAATTGTGAAAACTTGATCCTAGGTATAGTCATAAATATATTCACAAATGTATTTGAAGAACCTTTATAAAACAAGTTGTTAATAAAGCAACCTTAAGCTTAAAGCACGTTAATACCACATTTAAGTTTTGAGTTGGAATGAAGCTGATAATGTCAGAAAACAAGTGAGCAGATGGCTAAAGTTAATAAAGGAGAAAGGGTTCAGATGTAGTATTAAAACCAATCCAGCAAAATTCCAATTCACACTATTGAGACTGTAGCTGAAAAAAGATAGATGCATCAATATTTATCTCCAGTGATGTGCATAAAAGGCATCATCTGTTAAACGTACTGCCACGTTTACAGTCAGTGATGGTTGATTTATATCCTCTCATGTACTTGCATTATCAAGCACAAAGTGGTTAAAAAAAAAAAAAAAAAAAAAAAGGTGTAGAAGATGCTTGCATATCACAATTTAGATTCATAGTTGCAGTGCTGTGCAGAGTAAGTACTGTTACGCTGGCACAAGGCTCAGATAACATGATTCTTAGCAGGTCTTTGCTGCACTGAGCGCTGTGTGTGCTTGGTATCTGGTCTTTTACGTTAAATAGTTGTTCTGATAACTGTGCAGCAGAGTGCATTCTGCTGCACAAACAATAAACTTCAGACCAATCAGAAAAACCTAGATAATTTCAGTCAGAAGCAAGTCAGTGATTTAGTCCATGTTCTGTATGATACCTGCTCTAAAGGCAAAGTAAGGTTGCTTCCTCTCTGAGAATATGAATACTTCCAGTCGTGACACACAACACTATCAAGGGGCATTTTAAGTCTTGGGGATTTATTCACTCAACACCACATGGTGGTGTCTCAGACTGCACCAGACAACAGGCTAAGGACAGCGTGAGGACCGTGGTCAAAATAATATCCCTTAAAATTATAGGAACTAACCAGCAGAGGGTTAACTAGAACAGTCCTAATCGTTGATTTGACAGCAAGCAAATATCCCATAATTAATTATTTGTAATCTCTTTGTTTCCCAACACTTACCTCAGACAGTCCATTCTCATCTAGTTCCTCAGCACTGGACAAATTAGGTGCTTCTGCTCTATCTGTAAGTTCAGCTGTCGTCTTTTCATTTTCCCATGGTAATGGAAATATGTTTTCAGTTAAAAGTATTCTGTGTCATGAGTAATTATCTACAGTGGATACTTTAAATACACTAAAACATCTTTTACGTATTAATGTAAAAACAGTACTTCAGATGCATGCCACAGGAATGTTAGCGTGTGAATGGGGCCTTTGTATGCCTGTCAAGACTATTTCTTGAGGTTTTCTTTTAAATTATAGGATTCTTTTTTCTTCTATTTATATACGTACATACTTCTGTTACATTTACACTGCCATTTTTCTAGTTATGTGCTATCAGTATTTCAACACAGAGCTCTAAAAATATCTCTAAACTGTTGTGCTCTGTGAAAAGTTAAGAAATATTTCACGTTTAAGTTAAATGTCAATTATCAGTCTATATTTTTTAATGAAACAACGTTATTCACATGGACCTCTGTGTACTCAGAGGAAGATCACAGAATCAAGAGGCATCCCAATTTCAAGTGATAGTTCCTTTTCCAGGTACAGCAAATGAACTTCATGCTGCCACGCAGTAAAACATTACTGTCTAGACATTTAGATAAGACATATAAGTTTTAGTATTTTCTCATTCAAAAATAAGCTGAACTTCAGCTAGATTTTACAATAAATTTATGATCTGTTCTGAATAAAAGCTAAATAAACCCAATAGAACAGATGAAAATTCAAATATAAAACCTAGACTGAAAGGAAGCATCACGCATCCTTCCCTGATGTTTGCTTTTTTTTTTTCTTTGTGTTAGTTCAACTTTTGCTTCTAGGTTTCTGCCTTGTGTTCTGTATTTAGTGACTGAATCTGAAAAAGACAGCTGATTAACAATATTTCCAAATCTCTATTAAGCTTTGGCTTAAACCTTGGGATCCTGCTGCTGCAGCTGCATTTTCTCTTCTTCATTCTGCAGTTTCAACTTCTCCCGTTCTTGTTCCTATCATAAAGAAGACAGCTGAAGATAGCGTACACACTTTTGATACTCATTCCTCACACCCCTGAGTAGTTAATATTTATTACGTCCTATAATTTGGATTAGGCTCTTTGAAGTTTTGCACAGCATGTAGTATTAATTAATCAGATTAATCCATGTAGATTCTAGGGGAAAAAAAATAGGTAAGGTAAGGTAACTACAGAAGACAGTCTACCACTTTTAAGCTACTTTTAAGCTACTTTACATATGAATCTTAAGTTAGTTGCTCTTCAGTTTCGACTCCTCATTTTTGGTAACGTCTTGCCATACAGCAGGTAAGTTTTTTTTCCCCAGCTGCCGACTAGTCCTTCATTTATTATTTCCAAAACATGATGTTCAAACACTTGTTTTGTTATCTTTTTTTTTTCTAAGTGACTATAATCACTGCAATAGTAGTCATACAATGACCACTATTGTAGGAGAGCTGCAAGTTGCCCCAGCATCATATGCTACTATAATTATGTATTATTATTAACCTTTCGTTGTTCTTCAAATCTCTGCTGTATCATCAGCTCTTCTTCCTTCATTTTTTTTAACATTTCAAGTTCTTCCAGGGCTGCCTGCTGTTCTTTTTCCAGTTCAATCCTTTCCAACGTTCTCTATTTCAGAGGTAACACAAAATCAATTTTAAAAAACAGCAAAACATAAAGAGAGATTAAACAGCATCGATTAGATTGCCATGAAATGCTTTGCCCAAGCTAGATCCACCTTTTTTTCTTCATCTAGATTTCTCTTGTAATTGTAAATCCAGTGTGCCAGGTACTCTATGGGGTCTGCAGGCTGACGCTCCACAACCTCTGCCAGTCCCTTTTTCAAGCAATCTCCCAGGCAACTCTTCAGGTATTGAGACTCCATTCGCACCTACTGACGATAAACCAACAGCCATTCGTTACCAACTGCAGAATTCAGACCACACAGTCATTTGCTCACCTTCCTCCACCCACCCCATTGCCTTTCCCAATAGGCTGGGGAACAGAATTGGTAAAAAAACAAACAAACAAACAAATCAAGAGTTTTGGGAGTATTGACTGCATCACATGCTGAATGCGATGCTAATAATTTCATTGAAGCTAATTTAATCAGGCAATTAATAGGAGAAAATCGTCTAAATGGGGTAGCGGTCCCGTCCCGTGCCGCTCCTACCAGCCCGCTCGCACGGCGCGTCCTCCCGCGTTACCGAGCAACCGCACGCCCTGCAGGCGCCCCGCGATCGGAGTAAGCGGCCGGGAGGTGTCGCTGCTGCTCCGCCCGCTGCCTTCGATCGCCCGCCGCCATTTTGCGTCCGCCGGGTCGCGGAAGGTTGTGAGGACATCGCGCATGCGCGCCAGCGAGCGGCCCGTGTGAGGCGATGGCGGGCGGCGGCGGCGGCGTGCCAGCGGAATCCCGCGTGGGGCAAGTGGTATTGCCCGGCGACGTGCTGCTGCCGCCCGCGCACGCCGAGCAGGACCCCGAGCGGTTGCCGCTGGGAATCAGCGCGGCCCCGCGGGGACGACTGCTGTGCGGGCCGGGCCTGCGGCGCTGTGCCGGCGGGCTGCTGGTGACCAAGTGCGGGCTGCTGCGGCACCGGCAGGCGGGCGGCGGGGCGGCGGCGGGCGGCGCCTATTGGGTGGACTCGCAGCAGAAGCGGGTACGGCGCGGCGGCGGGCTGGGAGGGAGAAGGGGGGGGTGCCGGAGGGGCGCGCTGACCGCTTGTACCACTTGTACCGCGCGCAGTACGTGCCGGTGAAGGGAGACCACGTGATCGGCATCGTGACGGGCAAGGTGGGGGACGTGTTCCGGCTGGATGTGGGCGGCAGCGAGCAGGCCTCGCTGTCCTACCTGGCCTTCGAGGGCGCGACCAAGAGGAACAGGCCTAACGTGCAGGTAACGCTGCCCGGTGTGCGGCCTTTTACCTTAGCAAAAGGTGTTTGTGCCGCTCACGCAATAATAAGGATTAACGTGGCTTTGTTCATCAAGGTTTTACCGTGGCCCGTGGCAGACCTGATAAAGTATTGCAGTAACAGGCCTGGCTTTTGATGCTCTTAATGTCTGGAGAAAGAGAAACTGAAGTTTGGTACTTTAAAGAGGAACAATTATTGTGTGCCATATAATTCTGTAATCTTTGGTAGTAGCCTTCCAGATTCTAGTGGAGATATGGTTACACATCTTTAGTATTCCTGAAGATGTCTTCAGTAGAAGAGGAGAACACTTCCTATTATAACAGCTCATTTCTCTATCACCATAATTCATTTCTCTATCACCAGTAATTAATCACCTAATCACAGAATGGCCAGGGTTGGAAGGGACCTCAAGGATCATGAATCTCCAGCCCCCCTGCCACATGTGGGGCCACCAGCCTCCCCATTTAATACTAGAACAGGCTGCCCAGGACCCCATCCAACCTGGCCTTGAACACCTCCAGGGACGAGGCATCCACAACTTCTCTGGGCAGCCTGTTCCAGCACCTCACTACTCTCATAGTAAAGAATTTCCCTGAAGATCATCTAGTTCCAATCTCCTGTCATGGGGAGGGTTGCCACCCACTATGCAGATCATACTGATCATACTGCCCAGGGCCCCATCTAGCTTGATCGTGATTGCTTTCAAGTATGGGGCAGCTACAGCTCTGGGCAGCCTGTGCCAGTGCCTCGCTGCCCTCTGAGTAAAGAATCTTTTCCTAACACGTAACCTTTACCTCTCCTCTTTTAGTTCAAAGCCATTCCCCCTTGTCCTATCACTCCTAGGCTATATAAAAAGTCACTCCCTTCAAGTATTGGAAGGCTTCAGTGAGGTCTACCAGGAGCTTTCTCTTCTCCAAGCTAAACAAGTCTAACTCCCTCAACCTTTCTTCACGTGAGACGTGTTTCGGCCCTCCTCTGACTCACTCCAACAGCTCTGCATTCTTGTGACAGGGCCACAGGTTTGGACACAGTACCCGAGATGAGGCCTCATGACGGTAGAGTAAAGGGGAACAGTTATCTTGCTCACCCTACTGGATACCTCTGTTTGGATCCAGCCTAGGATGCTCCTGGCCTTCTGAGCTGCAAATGTACACTGCTGGTTCTTGTCCAGATTTTCATCCAATTAACAACTATTTTGCTGTCTTGGTGCATCTTTATCAATGGGATGTTTCTTACAAATGTGCAGTATGATCTTCACTACTACTTTTTTGTTTTCTGGCACTGCTTGCTTTAGGTGGGAGATCTTATTTACGGTCAGTTCCTTGTAGCAAATAAAGACATGGAACCAGAGATGGTCTGTATAGACAGCAGTGGAAGAGCAAGTGGAATGGGAGTAATTGGGCAAGATGGCTTCCTCTTTAAAGTTTCCCTAGGTCTGATAAGAAAGTAAGTACTAAGAAATCCAGTTGTGCTAACCTGTAAGTGTTGTGGTTTAACCCAGCAGGTGGCTAAACACCACATAGTCATTTGCTCATCTTCCTCCGCACACTCCCCCTGCCTTTCCCAATAGGCTGGAGAAAAACAATTCTGTGCAGCTGAAACTAAGAGAGACACATTGTATTTTTAGATAGGATATGCATAACTATCTCTAATCCAAGTAGTGTGTACTAGCCAGTAATCAAGCTATGTGGTTGTTCTAGTGCATTGATGCCAGTTTTACTGAGTAGAGGATGCATGTACATTGAGCAGTGTGTGATTATCACAAAATATGAGTTAATAGTGATAAATGATGGTAAAACTTCTTGTTGGTTTGATGCTGAGGGGAGGAAAAGTAGGCATCTGTTCTTTGAAAAGTGGCTATTTCATACCTGGGTTTTGTAAATGATTTGGTTTACGTGTCCTATCATCAGTGTGAACAGGTAAGTTATTTTTCAGCCTTGTTCTCGGTAACTCTTCTGACTAATTAGAAAAACAGTTATCAATACACAAGTGCTCTCCTTAGGTGCGTGTATTTTGAGAGAAAAACTTAAATTCTGATATGGTATGACTGTTTTGGATGGACATGCAATTTGAATCATCTTACCTTTTGGAGTTGCTCTTGTGATGCCAGTGCTGCAGCTTAGTTGCTGACGGATAATGATGTAATACTTATCAAACACGAGCATTCACTTTTTCCTCTAACTCTTACTGATCTTATTTTACAGACTCTTGGCTCCCAAATGTGAAATAATTCAGGAACTGTCACAGCTGTACCCATTTGAGCTGGTGCTGGGAATGAATGGAAGAATATGGGTAAAAGCAAAAACAGTTCAACAGACTTTAATTATAGTAAATATTTTAGAAGCTTGTGAATATATGACTGCGGAGCAGAGAAAACAAGCGCTTGCCAAACTGCCAGGGAATTGAGTAAAAGAAAATTTGAGCTTTTGTGAGAACTGTAGAACACTTTGTTTATTTTTGTATTCACATTTATATTAAAAGTCGCACTAAATGAAGTCCCAGATGTTTTTGGTGGTTCTTCAATTCCCTTGATGCACTCAGCTAGTTCTTCCTTATGTAGGATCACTTGTGATTATGAGACACTGTCCGCTGTAGTGGATTTTGACTGGTGTGGAGATGGGTTTGAAAAGCTTCAATTAACTGTGGGTTTTGACATGGAGTTTTCAGTTTTTCCAGAAGAAAGCCAGTCAGTTTATAAGCTGGGTATATTTGGTTTTGCTAGTTAATTTTAGAGCTTCAAAGAGTACGTGTTAACTTGGGGGAGCTGAGAGCATCCTGTGAATCATCTGTTCTGGTCAGGTGTTCTATATAAGTAGTGATGGATTGATCTACTGCTATCTTAGAGAATTTGAGAATAGAGACACAGGTGGAGAAATACAAGAAAGGAATTGTAGGGTGTACCTGAGAGTAATTACAGTGTGCTTCAGGCAAGTGATCAGGTACTGCTGAATGCATTGTCCCAGTGACGTTAGAACTTTCCCTGAAAGATAACCTGGCTAATAGTCTTGATGAAACAGAGTTCAGAATATCACTTCAGTATGTACATTTGGGAAACGTAATGGCTAAATGGAGCTAAAACAGCTATGAGGGCTGTTCTGAAAGTAATGCCTCCTGTTCTATTATTTTGGCCCACTGTGTCAGAGGTTGATGTTGGTATGGCAGTACAAGTTGAATCTTCACTCCAATATTCTGCTACACGTTGTTGCCACGTAACAGATGGCAGTATAGGGGCAGCATCTGACATGGAACTGCTTGTGAAGCAAAGATGTGGAATTGAACTCCTTCATGAAAAGAATTTGCACTCATTGCCATTCATTGATGCTTGCTGAATGTTTATGGGGACCAAAGAGTGGATGTGAGTATGTAGCCCGGAAGGCCAACTATATTCTGAGCTGCATAAAAAAAGGAGTGGCCAGCAGGAAGAGGGAGCTGATTGTACCCCTCTCCTCAGCTCTGGGACCCCCAGTACAGGCAGGACGTGGAGCTCTTGGAGCAGGTCCAGATCATCCACTAAGATGATCAGAGGTCTGGAGCACCTCCCCTCTGAGGAAAGGTTGAGGGAACTGGGATTGTTCAGGTTGGAGAAGAGAAGGCTCTGGGGAGACCTCATTGTAGTATTCCAGTACTTGAAGGGAGTGTGTAAACAGGAGGGGAACGACTGTTAAAGAGGGTGGATAGTGATAGGACAAGAGGGAATGGTTTTAAATGGTTAAATGTTAAATGGTTTTTGGCATTAGGGGGATACAGTGTCATTCTGTTGTATGAATAGTTTGTTTCTGATGTTTTAAGGAAGTTCCCTGGAGTAGTGGTGTAGTTCTTTGACAGCTGCTTTCTTTGGGAGCAGTACTTATATGTATTCATCTAAAAGTCTACAACAATGAAGTTTGCTGTTTTAAGCAATTACCTGGATATGTCTTGTGGTTCTTAAGCTGAATGACTTGATAAGCAGTATTTAATAAATTAGAGAAATGTTATAATTTGAGTAAGCCTGCAAACGTCTCTTAATTCCAAATAGAAATGAAATCTTTCCTACTTACTCAGTCTTTTATCCAAAGTTCAGTCCACAGTATTTAATTAAATGTGTTTCCTAGTCATCTTTCTCATTTAGAAGTTGCTTCTATTCATAGCCACATCTGACTCATCTTTAATATGCTTACTTAGGGCTTCC